ACCCCTATATGCCCTATATAGTGCATACGGTAACCCCGTATATCTCTTGAGAAACCCCATAGTCATGGAAGGACCACAGCGGCATCGGCATTTCGAGATTGGGTTCCAGTAATTTGAGTCCTGTTTGATTTGGGTTATTGTTTTGGGATCCTTAGAATAAGGATCCTACTATTTAGGGTACTATATTGGGGTCCCCTATTTTTGGAAACCCCTTGAGTGTTCAGGGTTTAGCTGCAAATAATCAAGAGGCCCTTGCAAGCACTCGGGGGTGATGAAACCTGGCTGAAGCATACTCTACTTGGCTACTGGTAGCTATCTATATATATATATATATATACATACATAATGGATAGATCGAGTCTGTTTGGGTATGAGCCATATAGCCAATCAGAAATAACAAGCGACAAGCTCGCGCCAACATGTTCGTGGCGGAACAGAGCCCTCGGCAGCCTCAAACAGATGTCCTATCCATCGCAAGCAAAGGGGCTTCGATCACCTCAGGTACTGCAAGGGTGGCTGATGTGAGGCCTGAGTAGAAGCAGCAAAGAAGCGTTTCACGCTGCTCATCTCAGCAAGTGCTGAGCGCTGAAGACAGTTCACGACTCCCGCCCCGATCATCAAAAAGTGAGGCACCCACACAGAAAGGCTCAGCAATGCATCGTGGCATGTGGAGCGAGTGACAAGATTTGATGTGCTTATTGTCTCTGTTGTACGGCAAAGCACCAGTAAAGCTCGTGGGTTCGGGCCTTTGCGATAGCCCTGCGTAGTGCCCCTGGCAGAGTCTCTGCAGACTTCAGTCTTCAGTGCGCCAGCATGCATCATTTGATAAGGGCGTGCTCTACCAAGGTGCGAAGTACGACAAAGGTGGTAGGATCACCTTGCATAACGACGCGCTTCGCTGGGCCGGGGGCTTGTCAAAGGCAACGACTTGGAGAGCTTTTCGGATCAATGCAAGCGACCATAAGCGACTATAGTACTTGTGGTTTAATACACATTTCACCACTAGTTTTGCAATGCTTCGTCATTGCCTTGCTGGGTCTACATAATTACATAACTGCAACAAGGAGGAGTGCCACGCACATGTCTGCGCCAAACGGCGGAGGCCCAGTTCCCAACCGATACATCAAAAGGCCCCTGGTTTCGTGAATTCTACTCCGCCTCCACCACAGCCGAAGTGTGGGTCCACTGGTCGAGCATTTGGTTCTGCCTTTGAGATGATAATGCCTGCACCAGTCACTAAGACAGGACCAAACTTGAGCTGACACACGGTTCACAGGTGTGCAGAAGTAAGCGGCATACCGCTGAGCATTCTGAAGCTCATTATTACCTGCTTGTCGAACGAGGTAATGAAGCCATTCACACTCAGCATGAAAAAGCCCGTCCATGTCGGAGAGAGGCCAAAAGGAATCAATCTTCCTACTATAGGGGCCTTAATAATTACCTATGCTATTTTGGGGTTTCCTCATTGTAGTTGCAGCATAATGGGCCGCACAACCTTATGAAATTATTAAGGCCCCTATATTATGGATCCCTTGTAGACTCCTTTAAAGGAGCCCGATTCCTCTTATTAAGGCCCTTGTATTACGTCCTGAGGTCGTGAAGCCAGCGGAAGCTTCCGAGCGCTTCCCAGCGGGATCTCAGGTGTAGCGGCCCCAGGCCTTCTCTGAGGTGAGGGTTTAGGGCTTATAATCTGTTCCTTCTATTATTGAACGGGGGGGGGCCCGCAATGAAAACTCGAAGCGTACTTTTGTTAGTAGTTGGTATGTTTTACCCAGAGGCCCCAAAGTAGTTCCTTTTTGGGACTGCCCTATAGGATTCTATATATATATATATATATATATGAACCCCAAAAAGGAACTATTTTGGGGCCTTATAGGGTATCTTTACTGTCACGTAGGGGCGGATCTTGCTCCTATTCCGGCTCTTGCTTCGGCTCGGCGGCTCTTGCTCTTGCTGCCGCTCCTTCTTTTGCTCTTGCTCCTGCCTTTGCTCCTGCTCTTGCTGTTATGCATCCTCTCAACTCAGAAGAAGTTTCAAAGTCGTGGGTGATTTTAAACTTATGCGCGTGTGTTGTATGCGTATGTGTATAGGTGGCTCATGTATGTACAGATAGATGGATCCACGTGTGGGTTTATGTCTCGTAGAAACCGCGTGTCTTTGTTTTTCCTGAGCCGGCAAGGTCAAGGTGGCATAGGGTCAGTCTTCAAAAACCGGGCATTCTATGCACTTCCACCGAAGGTTCGGGGGTCCTGATGTGCCGCAATTGGATTGTCGGTGTTGTGGGGCCATCCATCGGACTCCATGGTTAAACAGTCCAACCCATTGCTGAATTCCTTGAGGTATCGCAAGGTGGCTCTCATCTACTACCTGACCAAGGCCCTGGGAGGTATTTGTAGGCAAGCTTTTTGCGTTGCTACACACTTCTTGAATGTATATTTACACCTACGTCTGTGCAAGTGAAACCTGGTCTTGGAGGCTGTCTGATAATTGGGGAGATGGCTCACTTGCTTTTTGGAGATTATGATTTCGTCCTCGTTGGGGTATGTTGCAATCTCTCGGGGGCACGAAGTCGAAGGCTGTGAGCTCACCTGCGCTCATCTTGATTTTTGGCTCAAGCCAGTTATTTGCATAGGACGTTGTGCCCACACTGGGATTGTCTTCCTTGTTAGGACATCCCAGGTATTCAGGAAGGTGATGATGAAATGATATGAAATTCAACGGGAATTCCATGTCTGAGTCCTTTATAGGAGAGCTTCAGGGTGTTGCGGGTGACTAAGTGGACACAGGGACTCAAAGGCAGGAGATGTTGGGAGCCATGATTCCAGGCCTGGGCGAGGCCGAAATTAAGACGGCCGAACAGGGTTCAGTGACCTTCTTCCAGTTCATCTGAGTGTGATGGAGCCACAACAGTAAATCTGACTTGCTGTGGGGATCCTACCAGCATGTGCTTCCAAAAACTGGGAAGGGGAGTTTCTGTGAAGCCTCAAGTTCTGAGACTCGTAAATGAGTTGTGATGGATTGCCAGTCTCGCGCAGCATGGACAGGTTTGGCTCGGACATAAGAAGCCTACTGACTGAATTGCAGGACATGTTAAGGCATTGGGCATGGAAAGCTCCGGAACTATACCCATGCCTTTCAGAATAGGCCTCGCAACAACGAGAACATCCTCCTCAGCTAGCAACATCGCTTCCCTATCCCCAGGACCCTACAGCACCCAAGCGTGACACACTACGCGGCGCTATGATCGTTGTTCTCGTCGCATGACCTGGCAACCAAACGCTACTGTATAATTTGCAGCGGCCTCGGCAGAAGTAGTGGCACGTTCTCACAGCTGATGAGCTGCCAGAACACATCACTCATTATACAAAAGACTGCGCTTATAAACGCGAAGCATTGGCGGCCGTCGGCGCCCTCGCCGGATTCCGGCGTGCAGTGAAGCCATGAGCTGGGCACGGGAGCTCAGAAACCAATGACAAACCTATAGTCTCCGTTGTAGTTCCGTTTTTTTGATTTAACCAACTATATACTTAGGATCCTATAAGGTAAGCCCAAAAAGGAACTATAGGAACAATTGCCCCTGCATGTTTTGAAAATTGACCGACGCAGGGGCACGAACGGAGACGTCTTGTGTGGTCTACTGTCGGCATTTACGAAAACTATGTCGAACTGATGCCGTAAGCCTCGCCAGATTCGCAAATTTTCCGAAGGATATGAACTTTGTTTTTTTCTATGCTAGGCTGCGCCATGTATGCACAGGAGCCTGCCTGCATGCTGCCTCCATCCATGCCGTCATAGTTGAGTCGCTCGTGCTTTTACATTGTTTCTACACGATGTGCTGAATGCTTTCATTGATTGCCAGCTTGGCGAAATGGGAGTTTCCGAAAATAGTGGTACCTAATTTGGGGGTCTTTATAATAAGGATCCTACTATTTGGGGTACTATATTTGGGTCCCCTATGTTCGGAAACCCCCAAATGGAGGCGAACTTGAGGTCGAGTTGCAGCACCTGAGGTCCAGAAGGCCGCTTTCTTTGCCTACCTGAACACGGTTCAGGCTTCCCGGATTTGGCGTGAAGGGCTTGGTGGTTTAGGATTCGTAGAGCCTTGGAGGAATAGACTCACCTAGCAGGCGTTTTACCGTAGTTGGGATGAAGGCCACCGGTTTTCGGGCTGGGATCGGCAGATCTTGTTCGCACTTACAGCTTAGCTCCAGCCCAGTAGGGCCAAGAGGCCTGGCGACATGTGGGCTTGGTCCAGGGAAGTTGCGACGACACATCCCCCCTGCTCACCATGTGTCTAGTGCCACCGATCCGACAATGTCGCCTGCAGCCTTCTCTTGGGTGGGCAGGACCCAGACACATCAGCATACATCAGCAACATTCCGCCACACATCCAATCAACAAAAACGTAGGCAATCGTAGGCGTGTCGCTTGCAATTGAAATGAGCAGGCATCCTGCTTTGCGAGCTTCATAGCGCTGCTGCTGGGGTTCCGCGTGGATCATGGCTTCGTGGCGAGGATTGCAAGAGTACTTGCGGGCTCCTATGGCGGCTGGTTACTGAAGATGTTCCCGACCTAGCAGCTTACAAGCTGGCTCAACCGGCACAGGTGGGTTTTCGAGATGCAAACTGCTTTGGTGCTGATAGGCATTGTTGCTCCGACCAACTACTTGACTACTTGTCCTTCGGAGTGGCCCGGTGGCACCAGGCTGCTGCCGCAGCTCCTCCTCCTCCTCCTCCTCCTCGAGGATTACTACTATACTCCCATTGTCTGCTTACGTGCTGACTTGCTTGCGCACTCCTTCTATTCTGTATCAAAGTTTCACCCAGCTCTAATCTAACCTGGCTTAATTATGCAACCTACACTGCACGGTAGCTGAAGCGCTTCAACTACAAAACTGCGTTCCAAACCTTGAGCAATAGCAGCCATAATCGCTGCAAAAGCACACGAGTGATAAGCATCGTGAAGAAGAATACTTGCCTTGCTTGCCTAAGGTGGGAGCGATGCTGCTTCGCTTGCTGCGTACAAGGTTTGCAACCTTTGCCGGCTCGTGCCAGGTTCCGGGACTTGGACTATAACAATAACAATGTATACTCGCAGTTAACAACAATAATTGCCATGAGTATTCTTATGTAATATGTTTTGCCACCATGAGGTGAGGCTGGGCTTTTGCCTGGAGTTTCTACAGCGGTGCCTAGGTTGAGGCTCTTGGGTTTTACGACTGGTTGAGCGCTGGGTCGTGTGTGTCTCTGGGGGAGGGGGAGGTTGACATGCTTTTAAACATCTCCTTCATGCGAGGAAGCTTTCAAGAGAATCAAGCCAAGTAACTGAGTCTCCGGGGATGCGTGATCACTTCAAGCCTCTAGTGTTGCGATTTCGACAGAAGCACGTGATTTTTTGCCGGCATGCCGTCTTGATTCTTGACTTCTCAGAAACTGGGCAAGAAGAGCCATGCTCTGGCTCAGGCGCGCGGATCACCCTAAGGCCCTAACTAGCCTATAGAAAAGTGCATGGCCTTCGCAGTCCCTCCCCTTCAAGAGCAGGAGGACTACAGCTGTCGGTTTTGAAAGCCTTAACATTCAAGCTCCCTTAAAGAGGAACGGATTCGGATTGTTAAAGACGAAAACGGGCACACCGGAGCAGGTGCTCGACACTGGCAATCCCATCGTCTACCTTTCGAACCATCGGAGTCCCGTGGCAGAGGGAAGACCTTTGCAGCCTTTGGAAGCAGTGGCGTCACGGCGTCGTGGGACTTTATTTTGGTGTACTTAGTATTTGTCGGTGGTACTTGACGCCACTGCGGTTGATACGTGATAGTAGACCCATCTGTTGTGTTTATGACTGTTTTCGTCTATGTTCCTTCCCATAATTAACAGTCGAATATTCTCATCATGGCACATGATCTCCGAGACGGTTCACCAAAGCATGGCTCCAGATCGTCATGCGCAGCGTGAGCTCAGATGCAACAGGCACGCGTTTATTGTTTTTCAAACGACAAAGGCTAAAGGCGTCCTGCAACTCTGGTCCCACTCCTAACCTCATGTGCGAACCTCAACGAGAAATCACCTTGGGTCACCTGACAAGGTTGGGGCGACTTTTGGACGGATTGCGCACTCTTGGGAGGACTGCCTGAGACGCTCTGCACAGTCCATCGGTCCGCAGTCAGAATGCATGAGTAGACGTCGGAGAGCTCTCACGTCCAGAGCTTCATGTCTGAGCGATCATAATGACTTTTTCCAGGACGGTTTGTCATCCAGCAAGGTCAGTAGGCATGCACGGATACATGTATGTATATAGATATTTACATCAGTAAAATGGTTTTCCTTAGCAGCCCCTTGCGCAAGTTTGCTACATCCTCTGGATATATATCCGGGAGTCATGGGTAGCGACTCCGGAGACGGCACTCGTCCTGAGGACCCTCCTTCATCTCTCGTGCCCTCGTGGCGGTCGCCCTTCCTGGTGCCTTGGTCGCCTTCCAGTCTGCAGGATGCAGTGTATATACTTTTAGGAGGTCTGTGAGGTATGCATTTCATGGCGACGAGCAACAGCAGCACAAACCGACAGTGTCTTCACCCGTCCCAGGCACTGCACTATGGGGACACTTCGCTGGATGGCTGTGGTTTTTCGCGTTGCTCAGCGGCAGCGCAGACTGATGCTTTTGCAAATGCTGAGCCTGTAGGATTCGAGAGCCCTGTCGTGCCCACGCAAAGACATGTCGAGGAATCACAAACGGTGTATAGAGCTCTCCAATCAAGGCGTGGCGCACACCACGAAGGAGGTGCAGTAGCGTGGATGACGAACTTCCTGAGTCAGCGTTGCTCGGCACGGTTGCAAAGAACTAACTACAGGAGCAAAAATCTACATTGACAAGGTGATGTTTGTACTTCGGCGTCTACATGAGTACATGCGTAAAACGAATAGCAGGCGATCATATAAAGATATGCATTAACCTACCTACCTACCCACACGCACTCACACACACATACACATATACATATATATATATATATATATGTGTGTGTGTGTGTATTGCACATATTGGGTGTATTTATGTTTGCTATAATGGAGGGAGAGTGATGAAGGCCTCGAAAGTATAAGCAAGCTCGAGAGGCGGCGGACATCAATATCTGCGGGTTCTGAAAAGTCGGGTCTATGTTTCTCAAGATTAGAGGAACCATCGTCAGAACTGCGGTACGAAGGTTTCTCATGCTTGGGGTCTCTACGCGGGTCCCCTTTCTATCTTCCGTGTTTTTGCATCTTTGCTGGGGCAGTCCGGACAGAAGACAACTTTGTAGCCCAATCCAAGATGTGTTAGGGCTTTGGCTGTGGGTCCTTCGCCAGCTTCTACCTGACCAGCGCCCGACAAGATGTGCCTAGCAACCACTATTTGTTGGAGCGCCTGTCCTAGTGGAAGATGTTTCGGATGCACCGACCCCCTGCCCAAAGACGAGGCATTCGCAACTTTGCGTCAAAGGGAGTCCTTCTGTATCCAGAGGGCACTCGCTCGCTTTTACCGGAGGCAGACGGATTGAAAGGGCATTCAGTTCATACTTATAGGCTTCCACTCAATCAAAGTTGGATTGAAGTTTATTGGAACCCCAATGAGGTGACGTAGGGAAGGCATCCAAGGCGGGTCTGCTGCCAGAGTTCAAGGCTTTAAGAACTACAAGCACTGAATCACATGTAAATGTTCCGTTCAGTATTCTCGAATCTACAGCGTGGAGCCATCGTCACGCGTTTTCTCCTTGCTTGTCAGGGGCTGCCCCTCAAGGCAGGGGCACTCGCCGCAGCATATCAACTTGGTTGGCCGGTGCAGGCTTGTCTGCTGAATGGCCTCGGGGTTTCGGCTTCTGGCATTTAGGATTGTCCGCTTGCAGCTGAATATCTCTGTACTCTGTATCTCTTCCTTCCTCTGTATATAGCCTAGCTGGTTTTCAGAAGCGGATTCTTCATTCCCACTTGCTTTGGCAGATCTTGCTTTGTTGGGTTGAAGCTGTGAGAACTGAGATGTCAGTGAATTTGCAGCGACCCAGCTAATATGTTTTAGTGCGCGGGGCTCAGCGCCGTTGATGAAAGCAGTCGTGGTTCTGCCCCGGCACGGTTTTTGGTTTTGGGGGTGGTGACGCAGTCTTGCGTATGTCCGAAACTACAAGAAGCCCTGTTCTCTTTGATGAAAATTGGTTGTGGTTTTGATGCAGAACTTTTTTTTCGGATTCGCTGGTACAGCAAACTCTTCGACTCTGTCATCTTGCCACAGGTTGTGATCACCACGAACAAGGTGCCTCGACGGAGGGCGCCAGCGGGATAAGGGACCTATTAGGTGTGCGGCGACTTCGAGATGTAGTTTGGAGGGCTTTCAGGCTTTGACCAGAACGGCCAGCGCTAGTGATTGTGCGCTATTTATGCTAGAGTACGTCTGAAGCCTCCTTGAACCCCTTATAAAATGATAACCCATAAACAAGTCAACAAAACAGCCACAACTGACTTTTTGGAGTCTCCATAGCAAATCAGCATTCCTCCTCGCCTGGAATGCCCGAGTGTGAGAGACTAAATATATAGCTATTGTATACCCATTATATAGCCCATTATAGGGTAGGGGTCCCCAGTAAGGGTCCCTAGTGACCACAGCGGGGTCCTCCATACACCCCACACAGGGACCGGCTTTTGGTAGGAGCTGCGGCCGAACATGGCAGTCTCTTCTACCAATGACCCCAAAGTCCTGAGTCTGGAATATGCGTCAGGCCTCAATGACTTTGGATGCCGCACAGTTACAAGGATGCTAAATGCCTTCATGGATCCAAGCAAAGAGCGCCAGTTAGGGTTACAAGTGCATTGACTCTCATGTCTGCTAGGCTTTCGAGACGTGAAACTGCAATCTGCCAGGCTTTCGAAACGTGAATCTGCAGGCGGCCCGGAAGCCAACAAAAAGATGTTGGATAAACTACCAATAGAATCCACCTATAGTCCCTGTACACATATAGTCCCTATACACTTATACCATTACATCAAGCGCTGCGAAACCCTAATGTATTCGGTCCCTCTCGTATCAGGAACGAGTCACAGCTGAGCGTAGCTTCGCCGTGAATTTCGGGACTCTTTGCTCCACGGCCGTTTCAGCGCCAGTGTAACTTCGGCAGCAGAGCAAGATCAAGATCTGTGCCATATAGCTGGCCGTACATGAGCCCTGCTCACCAAGAAAATGCTAACTTAATGTGTGTGTGTGTAGATATACATGTATGTATTACTTGTGCATACATATACACATACATACATATATACATTATATACATATATATATATATATACATATGTCAGAGACATACTCATACACTCTCTCTCTTTCTCACACACACGGACACTGTCACACAGAGGGGTTCACGTAACTAGGGATTGCTGCTTTAGCTTTCGGACCTGACACAGGGAGCCCCCTCAGATTGCTTTGCATCGGAGAGCCCCAGATTGTTGCTTCTTGGGCCTTGGGTGTCGGATTCTTACCTAAGTTTCGGTCTGAACAGGTACCCACAAGGAAGCGCAACTCGGAATGCAGACATTCCGGGGAAGGGTGCGATTTCGCGGCTCACTCTTGCAAGCGTGGAGACGCCTGCATGCCGCTCCTGGCGCGCCGGAAAGCGACAATCGTGTCAAGCTATCAAACAGCCGTCTAACGAATTCTTTGGATAATATAGGGGCCGAAATACTTGCCTATACTATTTTGGGTTCCTTGTTGTAATTATAGAATAACGGGCCCAGAAGCCCTATTCTAATTCATAGGGCTCCTATATTATGCGAGCACCCAAGCGATTAGGCCGGACATTGGCCGTCCAACTTCATTCCTTTGCGATGTACCGTCTGTCCCATTGTTTGCCTGAAAGAGACAGAGTGAGAGAGAGAGAGAGAGAGAGAGAGAGTAGAAGCCAGAGCTCTGAGCACAACTTCCGAGAGGAAGCCCAAGACAGAAGTCGCACGCTGCTCCGCCGACTCTTTCCCCCAGCCTTCAGACCCATAACCGCGAGCTACTACCACAGAAAACGGATTATTTATTTTATGTATTACCATTGTTATGATTAATTAATGGTTTATTATGATTATTTTTTCTTTTTTATGAGAAATAGTCATACTACTCCGCCCCTTCTGAGATTCTGTCAGGCTTCCTTGGAAGCGTTCCTGCAGACCGTCAGGGCCACCTGGACCCAGACCTGGCAGGAGGCCGCGATCCCCTTAGGTTCAGCTTAGTAGCTGAGGGCATACACTTTACACTCTTTGGGGTAATATCACCCACTATAAAACGAAAAGTGTACACTTTTGGGGGCTTATGAATTCAGCAACTAAGCGAGGGGCTCAAGGGTTCAGGGCTTCGGTAGTCCCCCTGAAAAGAGGCTTTCTGACTATCCTTCTATTAGCCTAACTAACTTGTAGTGGCATGAGCCATTGCTGACTATGGGAGGAGCATATCAACTGTAGCAGGTCTGGAGTTTCGAGGTTTGAAGATATAGCGGTGTTCATTGCACTGAAACCTTTACAACGCAATCCGTGTTGGGGTCTTCCTCGGGCGTCCTCCCAAGATCTAATCTGGGTTGTTGAACTCGACAGTCATGGCTCAACTCGGAGCCGTCGTGGCGCATCGGAGCAGGATCGAGCGTCGGTGAGCTGAACAGAATCACGTGTCAACAGCTGCACTTACACTCCCAGATGTCGGTCGATCGTTTACCGGTAGCTGGGAGAATCGCAAACTATCGCTCGCTGCCGGACATGTTCGGGTCACATGAGACCCAATACGAATACAAAAGACGTTTCTCCCCATGGTTGTCTGTCCTATAGGGATCCATTCGTCCTTGTGCAGTGTCGATCTATGACACACTCCTGCTGTTGAGCCCTGTGAAGCCAGGCATATCATGGTGCAGTGACTCTTCGGGAGCATGCGTTGCTTCCAGGAGCCGCCTCGCTCAGACCACACTGGCAACTTGCGCACTAGCTCAGATAGTGTCGAAAGATGCAACTCCGGAGATTTTACTCACCATGGTAGCGAGAAAGCTCGCAGATACTCCTAGCACCGTGTCAGAAACGGTTGTGTGCGACTATGCTGGCAGTAACCTGGGCTGTCACAGCCTCGATGCTTCCGACGAAAACCCTCCAGCCCCATACAATCTCCGTGAGGGCCAACAATGCGATGATACGCTGATACATATATCTGTATATATATATATATATATATATATATCTGTGTGTGTGTGCGCGTGTATACACGCATGCACATTTATATCTATATCTCTCTCTCTCTCTCTCTCTCTCTCTCTCTCTATATATATATATATATTCATAACTTGCTGATTTTTAGTTACACAAATTTATATGCATGTTTATGTACGTGTTTCTGTGTGTCAATTCAGTAAATATTTGTGTACGTATTCGTGCTATAACCTTGTCCGGGACTCGATACAATGCCTAGTAGCAATGCTTGTGGTAGCCACATAGTGACGCGGTAGATACACACGCACATACACACATATGCATGATCATGGTATATGTATATTAGATATACATATATATATATATATATACATACATGTCTGACTTGTCGAACACGAGTGACAATATATATATATATATATATATATATATATATATATATATATATATATATATATATATATATATATATACATATATATATATATATATATATGTATACACACATCATAAAGATGCAGGTGGGCATATCTATGTATTTATGTTCGTATTTGTTATTTTTCTCGGTTCTACTAAGTTGGAGAGAGACGGGTGGCAAAATACAGTTGGAGAGAGAGAGAGAGAGGTTAGCCCCCTGGCCTATGGAAAGGAAGAGAGCGAGAACGAGATACTGTTGATGGACAAAATCCTGTAAGACCTTAAGGACCCTAAACTATGGGAACTATGGTATATCCATTATAATGGGTCATGCAGGATTTTGTCCATCAGCAGTAGTGAGATTGTGTGCAAGCTCACCAGGAGCCAAGGCAAAAGTCATCACCTTCAGCCCGTCAGGTCGGGTGCCCAGAGAGTTTTCCACGATCGGGAAAAAAGGGGCCTTAATGATCTGAATAGGGTTTTGGGGCCCATTATACTATACTTATAATAAGGAACCCCCAAGATAGTATAGGTTAAGGCCCCTTTAGTAGCATGCGCGAATCTTGCTCGCGGAGTTATTCGCAGAGACACCGTGGTGCAGCAAATGCGGCATTTGCCTGAAGCAGGCAGGGTTGAGGTGCCAAGATCTCACGGATGCAGGCAACAAGTTCGAATCTAGTGTAAGGCCCAAAATCAGGAGAATGGTCGGGTTGCGCAACAGTTGAAGGTAGGTTTGCTCTCCAAGGAAGAATGTGAAGTCGGCTTACCTTTGGTGCAGCAAAACATGTCCAGATGTCGCCAGACCACCCACACCAGTTTCCCAGCAATCCTCCCAGCACTGGAAGTTGGCGAGTTTTCGGATCTTCCATGCTTCAGCGAGAATTGGTCGTCAACTCAACACCGAGGAACTTGGCAGCTCCACCTGCTGCGTTTGGCTTTGGCGCTGTTGATCCTCTTTTTGCTCAGGCCGGTCTGGAACTCCAGCACAGTCTGAGAAGTTCTGAGAAGTCTTGTACTGCTGTGTCTGACAGAGGTAAAAGATAAAGACCACCACAGGTAGGAACAAGACGCTTTTGCAAAGGTGTGCGCCTTTCTGGCCTATCTAGTTCAATATGGCCTCTTGCTGGCCGCACGCCATAGCTCGAGCTCCACTCGGCCGAGGTTCCGCGCCCGCAGGAGGCCGGCTAATACAGCCACTGATGTGCAACGGTGCAAGGATCCAGGGATGAAGGGAGCGATGGTGGCAATATAGCTACTTATATACTATTTTAGTATATGATATGTGTGGCTGTGAAGTGAGTTGCATCGGAGGGCTGGCTAAATCATTTTCTTGCATGTAAAATGATGCTTTGGCCAGGTCTGAAAAGGAGGAAAAGAAGAAGCATGAGGATGCTCCAGCCATGAGCAATGGCTGCACCTGACATAGATCTGCACCCGACGTAGATCCGGGTAATTAGTGGTGTTGCGTTAGCTATGCCATACTATGGCGGCTAGTCTTCTCGTTCGCCGCGTGATGTTCTTTTGGGTTGAAGTGCTCAAGGTTCTTGTGCGGATTACTTTGGATTAGCTGGGAAAGTCCAGGATGTAGGTCAACCGGGGGTGTGCTGCGAGGAGCACCCCTGACCAAGACCAAGGACCTTGCACAAAGGTTGCAGGGACAGAATGCTTGCCAGCCTGGGAGTGGCTATGGCTTTTTTGGGGTGTAGGGTTTAGAAAAGAGTTCTTCAAGAACCGTCCCTTATTACATGGATAGTTGTGTAGAGTACATGTGGACACCAAATGCAAGGCCCCGCGCTCCCAGACTCAGGTTTCCAGCGGCACCTCTCAAAGGGGAGCGCTGGTGATATTTGCAGGGACACACTTTGGGCACGTGGGGATGCATGAAGCTGCTGCTGCTATTGCTTCCGTTGCTGTTGTTGTTGCTGCTGTTCTTGCTGGTGGTGACTGGTGTTGTACGAACGGCTCGCTCGTTCAAGCGTGTGCAGTTTTTGATGCAGTGAGTCTGCAACCGGCTTGTTTCATTGCCTTGCTCAAACAGATTTTCTTTTAACTGTTCTCGAAGTTTGCCTCGTGGATCAAAGCCATGGCAATTGTGGAACGTGCGGTCGCGGCTTCTTTTGGACCCAATTTGGGGGATCAGTTCATGAGGAAGCCTCCAGCGCCGGCTACCGAGGATCACATGCCAGTGCTTCCCAATTTCAGCCGCATGGCCTTCCTTAAGCCTCCGATGCCGGATTTTCCAAAGGAAGCGTTGATGGGAGAAATGGGAAGCAGTCCGCAGAAAATGGCAAATCGCCCCTTGATCGAGGATGAGGACGACTTCGAAGCGATGATCACATTTCCTGATGGCGATTTCGCTCGGGCGACGAGCACAAGTACAGCCAAAGAGACCCTGTGCTCTACGGTGGACACCGTAGGCTCCTCATGGGACAGTGCCTCCTGGCAGCGCGACTTACCCGCAGGAACCATTATTGCCCCGGATCGCCGCCTCCATGAGCGTCACGTCAAGAAGATGAATCGCTTC